ACAAGTATATATAGATGTAGCATGTTGAAATCCCCACCTACAATACTGTGATGGTATACACATGGAAGACACAGATTTAAAAAATGACCCAAAAAACATAGCTTGGCTAATGCCCTTTGAAAAGGAAGGTTTTATTGAGCTTCTGTGTAATTTACAAGAGAGCGTTGTCCACAAGGCCATCAAAGCGGACACGAAGGTAGCTGTGGTCCTGTACTAGCGCAGGAATGTCAGCAAACAGGGATGAAAGATCTTCTCCTCCTGCTTACACATTATATAACCTGCAGAAACAAAAACAAAAGTGACCAACAACAATTCATGGTGTATAATAGGGTGACCATATTTTGATTTGGGAAAACCAGGACACCTTGGAGTGGGGGTGGGGGTGGGGGGGTTGATTGAAAGAACAAATGTCTCATCATCGGGATTTGCTCCGTGATCAGAGGAAATGTTACTTGGTGCAGAACAGTGATGAAAATTGGAAGTTCAGTTTAATATAATCCAGTCTGTGAATAGTTCCGTCTGAAATGAATGAAAATAGTTGTTTTAATGGTTATAGAGTCAGATATGTGGCGGTAATGTTTGGTTTATCTAAAGGTTTTTATCTGTTACTGATTAAATGACTTTGGCTGGAATTTAAGGACAGATTCTAATAGATCTGCAGAGTGGGAACTATAAATTTGATAGGAGTTTAATTTTTTTATTGTTGTTTTGCACAATATGCTTAACTAAGTATTTTTTGTTGTTGAATATTACAGATTTTGCAGATATATTTTGTAGATACATTGTTTAGATTTACTTGTATATTTCTAACCCTTTTATAGAATAGAATAGAAAATCCATTTATTGTCCCACAATGGGCAAATTTACAGCAGCAGAAAGATTATTGAAAATGGTCACACAAATGAGGACCTTAGAAAAATGTATAAGAATAACATAATAGGGAAGAGTTAAAATATAAACAATAAAATACTGTAAAGTGTTTTAACAATATAAAACTGGAGAATAAATAACCAATATGCAGCTGTGGACATTTTTACAGTAATGGATATTTGAAAATAGCAGTAACATCAGAGATGTGCAGAATGACAGCAGCATGTTATTTAACTGACTAAGGTTTCTATCATTACATTTGATTTGATTTGTTCCTGCTCCCGGCTGTTGGAACCTTTATTCCACTCTGGATTCTTGTGAGCAGGGGCAGATCTAGAAAAATATTTATGGGGTGGCAAGAGGGGGGCAGGAATTTTTTAGGGGTGGCAACATATGGCATTTGTTTACACTGAATTTAATCACAGTTATCACAGTTTGGTAAGAATAGTATGTACAGTACTAGTGTTTCATGTGAAACAGTTCATAATAATAATACATCGTACATTGTGATCTCACTTAATAGGAGATAGAAGAATGATTACACTACTTCTAGAGGGGCCTTATGACAGGAAAGGTATTAAGGTAAGACACAGGTGCTGAGTAGTAGATGTGTGAGATTGACTGTCAGAGAGGCAGCTTTGCAGCATTTGCACAAGAAGAAACGATAGAAAGAAAAACTTACCTATCAGAGATCTATGGACTGAGCTGTACTAAAGTGAGCAGAACTACACAGTAGAAATAAATGGGTCAAGGCACCCGAACAAGGTACTGGACATCTATGTAATGTTTACTCTGAACACAGATTTACACCATTTGTTCCTCAGTAACTTGACATACAGCAGTTAAGGCAACATGAAAGGGACATTTCATGCATGTAAATATGCCGTAGATAGAGCTGCATATGGAGGACCAACTCTGCCATATTTAAAAATAAATACAGAAATAAATAAATGCTCAATAAATAAATAAGCATACAATTAATTGCCACCAAAAATACAATCAACAAATAAATGTAATTAGAAATTATATTATAATGGCAGGCAGAAATGTAAAGAGGGCAGACAGAAAGAAATAGCGGCGAAGAAATAACTAGGGTAAAAAAATACAAAGGAAGAATAAAACAGACAAAAATATGATAACATGCACATAAATAAATACTTAAAAATATAAGTAATTAAAAAATGAAGTTGAAGATAATAAATGACAAAAAAATAAATAAGGTAAATATTAAAAAGGCAAAGAAATAAAGAAGCCAATTAAAAGAGTTATATACCTTTATGACTAGCTGTATAATTTAATTTCTACTTACATTTATTTGTTGTTTGTATTTTTGGTGGCAATTAATTGTATGCTTATTTATTTATTAAGCATTTATTTATTTCTGTATTTATTTTTAAATATGGCAGAGTTGGTCCTCCATACTGCTGTATCAACAAAAAGGCGGGTTCTGTATGTTACATCAAAATCTCCACAAATCTGAAAAGAAGCAACATAAAAATACATTTTGCTTGTGAGTAGGTTCATACGGGTCATTTCTGGATAGTTTCATATTATATATACAAAAAAAGAAACAACAACACTGCTTCATATTAAGCAGGATTCACATCAGTATCACATTTGTAACTTTTAACACTTTTGGTTTTATTAAAGGAAATATCAGATTTTCTCAGGTGCCAAAACAAAATGTAACAGCTCTGTAAAGGTTCACCAGAGAGCAGAACATAAAGTTAACATGACTATAACAGCTGAATGCAGCGATTTCCATGTTGCTCAGCAAAACGCTTCACAACTTTATTTAGATCCAATGCCTTTGTGCGTTTTGATTTGAGTAAAACCAAACTTGATAGTCTCTTTTCTGTCATAGTTGACCGCAAATATGTCTTTCTGAGCCTGAAACGTCAGGCCTAACTAACATCATAGTTAGAGAAATAACGTTCTGCAACCTGATTTTTATCATCTCAAAATCAGCATTGCAGCTATGCTAGCAACGTTGTGCTTTCATTATGATTTAATTTCTCGATAGATAATGAGTTTTTACCTGTTTCATCCCGTGTCTCCTCTCCCCATGACCCCTGGCTCCCTCGCTTTGCCCCGCTCGGTTTTCAAAACAATCAGTCTCAGTCGCTCTCTGTGATCTCGTGCTGCATTCACTGCAGTCCGACATTGGAAATTAGCGGTCGTAATTCTCAAATGATCCATAATTTATAAGCCTCGCCACCCCTACCGCCAACTGGGGTGGCAGCTGGGGTGGCAAGGCTGTCATTTAGGGTGGCATTTGCCACCTTATGCCACCCCAGTAGATCCGCCTATGCTTGTGAGTGCAGTCTTTGTTCACTTTAACTTTTTAAAAAATAAATAAATAAACAAACAGTTTTGAAAACCTCGGTATTCATTCTTTTCCTGCTTTGTGTGTCAACTTTCACGGTTGCTAAGCAACAGAGCATACCGCGGTAAAACCCGCCGAATGGTGGACCTGTTCGAATTTACAGACAGAACTCTTCCGGCCTCCTTATTTTCAAGGACTTCGAAGGATCCAGTCTAGGTAGACCGCGTCCTTGGAGGATGCAGCCCAGGTTTTTGAACAGAGCCTCTGATTAGGAACAGGGCTGCCTGCACTGACGCGGCTCAGGGATTACGTCACACGGAGCGTCGTGCGCAGTGAAATCAGGACATTTCCTCACTTTCTAAAAAAAACCCGGGACGCCCGGGACAGGACGTGAAATACGGATATGTCCCGGGAAATACGGACGTTTGGTCACCCTAGTGTATAAGATTGGTATATCAATATGTGATTAAATTTCAATGATACACATGCCCATTGAAGATGAGCTGGAAAGTTGAAAATGTTTGGCACAACACCATCTTTAAGTTGTCCAAATGAAACTAATACAAACTTAGAAAAGCTTTGAGTCAACAACAATCTTGTAATACTATTGTGTCATAGCAAAAGTCTGGCATCTTCCTTTTTATAAACCCAGCAAATTCCTGTAACATAATGTAAGATGTGTTGACAAACCAAATCGATTGGAAATCATGTTAAATTCTGCCTCTTCCACTGATGTAAAGTTGCTGGTTAACGTTAGCAGCTAGCTAAACTGTAACGTTAGCTGCTAACTTACTAACGTTAGGTCTCACTTTGCAGCTTCTCGTTATTATCCAGCAAACGTTAGGCTAATAATGAAAATACAACAATACTCAGATTATTGTTATTAGCCAACTAATAACTACAACCACATCCAGAAAGATTGTAATTTACACCAAAGATTGTCATACAATCGTTATTGGTGTCAGTAAAACCTATATAATTGACTAATAGTCTCAGCCTTGATAACTTGCGCAAGTAGACGTGATGCACAACTATGCTGCGCGATTAAGTCATTTTTCGACAAGAAAATCTGCAATTTCGACATGTTCAAGCATCAAGAATTATAGCCACGTTCATAATGTTTGTAAGAAACCAAACTGTTTGTAAATCTGTCAAGAATTCAATGAGATAAGAGTATTTGTGTTCGTGCTGATCACTCACCTTACATTAGGTACCACAGAGCACAACAGAAAGCCTGCCTGAGGCAAGATGGCCGCCGGTGATGACGTTTGAGACTCCGCCGTAAGACATCTAGCCTTTATTATGGATATCTATGGGGAACACTGCCTGAGAAAGTCCACGTCAATTTCTGACAATTTCCGGGAGTTTTCGGCGAAGCCTGCAAATTGCCGTAAACTGCCGCTAACCTGAAGTTCCACGACAATCTACAGTGCCGCATATTGACGAAAATCCCACTTTTCATGCAGCGTATATCTTTGGCAACCCTGGTACCTAAGAGGAAAGCTTAAGCAGACATTGTTAAAATTAGTTAACACCACATCGTCAAAGATGAAGAGAAAAATATATATTCCAAGACTTGTATGATGGCAATGGGTGAACCTTTAAACATAATGGATTCTTTTAAAAGTAAACACATAAAGATCAAAAGTAGCAAGTATAATCCAAAAACTGCTTACACCACAACACAAATGGTCAACACATCAAGTGGTCCAGTATCACAACAACCTTCCATAATACTAATCAATAAGACTTATAAGTGATCTATAAAATATTGAGCCACACCCACAAAGAAATCACTATCAGTATGGTCCAACACTATGATCAAAGTAACTACTTTCTGTCAGGAACAGAAGATTAGACCCAAAATAAATGTTTTTCAAACAATGCTCCTAAAAAATCACTTATTGAGCAGCAAAAATTCATCCTGATCAATCCTTACTACTTATATTTGTTTACTAATTTAAATTTGCATTTGCTTCTTTAATATTCCAGTTAAGTTGATATAGTCCTCTTTTGTTGCTCAAAAGTGAACGCTTACATTTTAATTGTAACTGGGTCTGAAGTAAAATCTTCCTGATCATCTATAAGAAGACCCATTTCACATATGTTTGGTTACACTGTGATTGGTTCCTTCAAGCATGTGTCTTCCACTGGAACAGAACAATCTCAGGTAATTTTATGAGTTTATCTCTAGTTCTTTGTTTAGCAAGACCTCCAAAAGAGAAGCAATAAAGGTTTTCAAGTTAGTAATTTAGACAAGTTAGACAAGCTTTCATGTACATATTTCAATGCAGCAGAAATGAAGTTCCCCTTGTAACTAACCTTTATACAGTACATGTGGTGGAAAATGAAAAGAAGATAAGAAAATAAGACTAAATATAAATTTTCTCTTTTGCAACCTCTGTTAAACTTGGTGAAAACTCTTCTGCTACATAACACACAACTTTAAATCCCAACAAAACTGTTTATTACAGAGTTAAATTTTTTGTTTTGTCTGTTCCTTCTACAGACTTGTCTGACATCATCTCCAAACTTGGACTGGATAACTATTATCCCAGCAAGCTCAGCCTTCAGTCTTTGCTGGAGATCAACAAGGACAGCATATATGGTCAACACATCAAGTGGTCCAGTATCACAACAACCTTCCATAATATGGTCGTTTCATCACGGTTTCATCACTAAAGGACATTCCATGGTATATTCTTAAAAACCTTTTTAAAATCAATGCTGAATGCAGAAGCTGTTTTCAATTACCAGCTATCGAGGAACAAAACGAAGAAAATATTTTTTTGGAACTGAACCGACTCACATTAGATGAGAATGACAATAAGGTTAATGTTCTTGACCTTATAGTAGCCCTTTACCTTTGTGCATACAGCTTCTTGCAGCAAGAAATATCTCTGAGAATGTCAATGTGTCAGTTTTCTGTCCCGCTGTTGTTGCCTCACAGCAAGAACAGTCAGTGCTGCCTGATGATTTGGGCTCTGAGTAGCATTGTTAAAGAGTGGTGTCCTCATAGTTTGTCTGAATCAAAAGGTTTTGTTGAGAAAATCCTTCTACAAGCAAATTTTCCTATTTTTTCTTTTGTAAGACTAAAAAACAGCACTTTATCAAAATCCCAGATGCTAAATCACGTCCTTAGTCGTGGTCAACAAAACCACAATATCTTTATCCACAGAGATATGGAGGGAGGAGCAATTAAAAGAGAAATATCAAATGGACTGGTAGAGATTACCTGGTATCTTCCCAGTGGGAAAGAAAATCTTGACATTTTTCCAGAGCCAGTTGCCTTTGCTAATCTGAGAGGAGACATCACTGAGTCACTTGCACAGTTCAGTTTTCTTGCACAAGTTTAAACATCTATCTTTGTGTTTCTGGACAAGGTAGAGGAAAAAGAGCAGGAAACTTTGAATTCTCTGAACGATTTAAGTGGAAAACTGTTCTTGGTTTTTAATGCCATAGAGGACAAAGACAAAGAAGGCAAACTGTCTGTCAAAAAAACTATTGAAAGACTAGGCCTACCATTTAAAAGGGTAATTATCAAAAACAAAGGGCTTAATGGAGTAGAGTTTGCAAAGAAACTTAGTGGAACTGCCAAGACCTCTTTGGAGAATATATCAGTCACAGTTGATACAAAAACTATGAAAGAAAAAGCTCTTGAACTTGGTCTGATGGTGGATGAATACAGAAGTGACAAGCAAAGAATGGCGGCTGACGAGATCATAAAAGGAATAACACAACAAAGTATCCCTGAGTACAAGAAGACGCAAATACCTTTGCAAGGGGAAAATTGGAAAAAAATATCAAAGTTAGAGAAGGAGCTCTGTAGACCGGGCCAATGTGATGACAATGAAGATTATATCTCTAGACTACACGAAGAAGAAAAACAAACTGAAAAAGAACAAGCAAAATGCAGATTATCAAAAGGAATCCAGTGTTTCATTGATAACATCTCCACAAGTGACAAAGAAAAACGAGATTTCTTCTTGAAATGGTTGAAACTGAAGCTTGACACACACTCACGAGAACAACTCTCTGATCTAAGAAACAAATTCAAGGGGGAATTAAAGACAAAAGATGCAGAATGCATTAAAAAGTTGGATCAAGCTCTGATGGAGAGCTCTTTGGGAATCGAGCATTATATGAGAGAGATCGGACTCATTTATGAGTTTATGCCGAAAAACACATCCCATCTCCCTCGTATAGCTGCTGAAATGGTGATGGATGGACATCCTCTAGAGCTTCTAGATGGTGATGCTTCCAACATCCCAGAAAAGTGGGTGTCAGCTGTACTGAATGAGGTCCATAACAAAGTTGGAAAAAGGAGCAAATTGTTGGTGTTAACTGTTTTGGGTGTTCAAAGTTCTGGAAAGTCAACCCTCCTCAACACCATGTTTGGTGTTCAGTTTCCAGTCAGCAGTGGCAGATGTACAAGAGGAGCCTACATGATCTTACTTAAAGTTGAAGAAGATTATAGAAATGAGCTGAATTATGATTTCATAGTCCTCATTGATACAGAAGGTCTAAAGTCTCCTCAAATGGCTCAAATTGAAGACAGTTACGAACATGACAACCAGCTGGCAACCTTTGTCATCGGTTTAAGTGACATCGCCATCATCAATACAGCAATGGAAAATGTAACTGAAATGAAAGATATTTTGCAAATAGCAGTTCATGCATTCTTGAGAATGAAGCACATTGGGAAAAAGCCTGTTTGTCATTTTGTTCACCAAAATGTTGCTGGAGTTTCAGCTCATTCTAAATGCATGACTGAAAGAAAACACCTCCTTGACCAGCTGAATGAAATGACCCAAATTGCATCTGAAAAGGAAAAACAACCAACTACTAAAAAGTTCACAGATGTCCTGGATTATGATGTGGAGAAAAACAACTGGAAAATTCCAGGACTCTGGCACGGCACTCCACCAATGGCTCCAGTCAACACTGGTTACAGTGAAGCTGTTGCTGATTTCAAGAAAAATCTTTTGGAGACCATAAAGAGCAACAAAAACAGTGAACCCACTGAAATCCCGGATTTTCTAGAATGGATGAGAAGTCTGTGGAAGACAGTTAAATATGAAAACTTCATCTTTAACTTCAGAAACACACTTGTGGCTCAGGCTTATGACAATCTGTGTAAAGCCTTTAATGACTGGGATTGGTAATTCAGAAAAGAGATCACGTCTTGGCAGAACAAAACAGAAATGGAAATATTAAACACTGACAATGATTCCCAACTGGAATGTTGGAATAAACAAGTCTCAGAAAAAAAGAAAGAACTGTCTAAAAAGATACAAATAGAGCAATGAAGATGACAGAAAAACTCTATGAGTACTACAAGAGGAATGACAGACGTGTCAATCTGATAGAGAAATACAAAGTGGACTTTCTGAACAGTATTAAAGGCCTTGCCAATGAAATTCAACAGGCAGTAAGAACTAAATTGGACTCTGTCCTTGAACTAAAAAAAGCTAGGAAGGCAGCTGAAGAAATACAGAGAAAACACAGAGTCCTGATTGAAAACAATGTCATGGAGCTACTAAATGTTTTCAAAATGTCAAACCTGTCCGATGATCAGCTAAAAAAAGAGTTTGAGAAGATGTGGTCAAAAGCTACAGCAAACGTGTCTGGCTTAGAAGAACGAGACATTGTTGGATGTGTCCTGAAACAGCTGAAGAAACATTTTGCTAATCTAAGTGTCTATGAGGAATTACAGAGTGTGGACTTGAAAAAACAAGGAACAGAACAATTTAAAGTTAAAACAGAATACGTTGACGGTTTGTGGAAAAAAATGTGTCTAACATTTAATTCGAACCATTTCCTGAATAGATTTACAGATTGTGTCCTTGAAACCTGTACACAGTTTTTAAGGGATGCAGTAGAAACGAATGAGGACTATAATGACTCTTTTACAAAAGATCTACTAGAAAACATTGACAAGCTCCTTCAACAAAACAACGATTATAAAGTAAACCAAAAGTATGAGTTTGACTTAAAGGTTTACATCTGTGGCATTGCTTCAAGTTTTTGTCAAACCTCAGTCCTCAAGCCCAGCTGGAGAAGTACAAGCCTGGATACTTGCAGGACTTTATTGATTTATATAAGAACAGAGATGACTGCCAACGCAAAGCTAATGACTACATACAGCTTTGTATCAAACCAGCAGTGGAAGACTTCATCAACAGATCTCTGGGAGTAGACATTGTGGATGAGATCTTAACGAGCCATCATTCAGCAGAGTACAGCTCTCGCTCTTTTTTCCAATACAATATTCAAAAAGAGCTTCTGCTAAAGGATGACTTTGACAGTTTTAAAAAGTACATAGACATGTATGAAACATTTGTCAAGCAATGGATATATCAGCACATCAAGCAACAGATGGAGCAAAATAAAACACTTTCAAAACTTAAGTCCAGGAAACTAAAAATCATATTTGAAAAAATTGCAGAAGCAGTAGAGACAGTATCAAAAACACCCTGGGGTGTTCCTCTGCCAGATGACAAGGAAAATACAAAAGAGCTAATCAAGAACCTGAGAAACACTTTGGCTAAAGTCATCTCAATCCCAGTTGAAGCTGAAAAATGTGTCTTGTTTAAAATCCAAAGTACAAGCCATCCATTTATCAACAGTATTAACATTGCATTGGAGAACCTGAAAAACCAGATGCAGGAAGAATATCAAAAAGCTGAAGGTATCACTGAAACATTAAGAAAACTTACAGTTAAACCTCAGGATGAGCTCTTTAAACGTGTTTTTGGATGTGGGCATCAGTGTCCGTTTTGTAAAACTCCATGTGAGGCTGGAGGCAAAGACCACGAGCTGCACAGTGCAGCTATTCATCGACCAAAAGGTCCAGGTCGATATCATAATGTCTACAATAAGAAGTTAAGTAACTCACTGTGTACAACTGCTGTCCAAAGCAACGGTACATTTAGAAATGGAGACACTCAATGGAAGTTTCATCCTTACAAGGAATATATCACATATTATCCCAACTGGCATATTCCACCAGACTCCACCATTGAAGCATCAGACTACTGGAAGTACATCCTGGTGAGATATAATGATCAATTTGCAGAACAATATGGAGCCGAACCGGCAGACGTTCCATATGCCTGGAAGAGAATCTCTCAGGAACAAGCTCTAAAAGGATTAAAAGATGCTTTCAATATAAAAATGACAGAGGTTCCTGAAATTTCGAAAAAGTAACATTTTAGATCTCAGAACTTCTTATCTAAATGTAGACAGAAAACTACAAAATGAAATCAGCTATTAGAAAGTGCAGAAGAATAAACAAAAACTTCATTTTTAAAATATCTCAAACTTTTATGTCAGATTTAACATTTTTAAGAACAGATTTCTTTACTATAAAAAGGAGGTTCGTAAATTGGTTTTAACCATAATTAATTTTATATATTTTTTAACATTTGGCAATGGTTGAGCAGCAACACTTGCAAGAGTGAATTGTAAATGAATTCAAAAACAAAATATTTCATATGGTTTAATAGAACTAGCGTTTGTATTGTTAGCAGAACAGATGAATATCAGAAGCAAAAGACAATTTTTGTTTTTACTTCAAATCTACTTCAAAATTGTTGTTCATTTTAGAATTACTAAACAGGGGTGTCTTTCTTTAATTTTTGTTAGCCTTGTTCTTGGGGAAATACAGAATTTTAATTTGAACAGTAATATTTTTTTCCTTCACTTTTCCATACAATCTTTTTTGTCATTTATTTTCTTGCTGTAAATGAAATATACACAAAATGTTATTGCCAAAATGAGTGTCATTCTTCAAGCAAACTTTACTGTGATGATAGTTACCTCCACCAGGGAGGTTTTCATTTTCATTGCAGTTGGCTTGTCTTTTTCCAAAATACCGGAAAAAGTAAGTGATGGATTTTAATGAAATCTATTTCAGAGGTGAACCTCATGCCAAGGAACAATCCATTACATTTTAGTGAGGATCTTGATACAGGTTTTTTTTTTTTTTAAGATTATTTAACATTTTAAATCATTTAGCTTCCCCCTAAACCAGCAGCAGTGACTACAGAGAGCTTCAGCATCAGACTTGAATCCTCCGGACATGTTTTACAAAAGAAAAAAAACATTTGAAAACGGAGTGCTGTTCGTTTGTTACACGATCAATTGAAAACTTCTGAACTTATTTTAAGGTTATTCTCTTAGCAGAGGTGCGCCTCATGCCAAGGAATAATTAAATTGAATTTTGTAATGATCCAAATCATGTGTAAATTTAGTTATAGGTGTAAGTCACAACTTGGGAAAAAGCTTGCTGCTACTCTCTGAGTGCTCCTATAGTTTTAAATTGTATCAAATAAATTTAAAAATGGTAGCCAATCAGATGTAAAAAGATTTATAAATCGATTCTTTATTACATCTGTTTTATAGATTTGAATTAAAAACCTACAATGTTATTTCTGTTTTATGACTTTTTTAATCAGCTGTTTTTCTTCAAATGTTTTACTTTACTGTTGTCAAAAATAAAGGTTAAGCTTTATTAAACAAGAACTTGAGATTAGTTTTCTTCATTCAAGCATAATTTGTTAATCCTCGCCAGGGAGAACCGACAGTCTTTTCAATGCTCCTGTCTTTTCTGATTTAGAAAATGATTTTTTTCTAACTAACTTAAGTGCTGCAGAAAAATGTGAAGATCTTCACATACAGTTAATCAAAACAAGTTGCAGACAGTTGAATAAAACCGTAAAATTTTGATTAAACCTCCAGTCTGAAGAAGTCTGGCCTCTGTTCCAAACAGACCCTAATAGTATAAAATAACTGCTTTCACCATGACGCTGTGTAAAATGCATGTGTTTAAATGCAAATGGTGTCAAACCTTTTTTTCCCCTCTCACAATAATCTGAAAACCCCAATCAAGAACAAAAATTAAGTTTAAGGTAAAATAAAAATTCAAACTCTGCTGAAAAATCTAATTTTCCTGAGGATGTGGTTGTTTTATTTGTGTCTCATTGTACAATAATTGTTAGCTTATAGAAGATGTATTGGAGATTAAATATAAATTAACCAACATATATTTATATATAACTTTTACATCTTCTTTAAATATGTGTAGCGTTGAGCAGGTTAAATTGTTTTTTTGTTTTTTTCAAAAAAAGAAGATATATCATACTGAAATTACAGTTTTATCATTGTTGATGTGTAGAGCATATAGAAATATGTACTTCTATTTACAATGCTAAAATTATAAGCACAAGCATAAAACGATTCTGCATCAATATGAATAGTAGGTTAAACTTCTGGGTGTTACATTTCTCCCATTCAAGCTAAAAAAAAAAAAAAAAGTTAAATAAGTGGGAAAACTACACACATTGTGTTTGTTTGGAACAATAATTATCAACATGCCGTTTGGAATCCAAGTGCATATGTAGTAGTTTTTCTCCATCACCAGAGGGCCCTCACACACAAGCTCTAGTAATGGTTTTGATTGGCAGAAAATGCAGCATTCTGTACCTGTGAGCTCTATTTTTTTTCTTCTTCTTATTAGATAACCTAACAAAATGAGAAATCTATTATCACCTTTTTTGATTGCCTTTCTTTCTTGTTTTTTTATTCACCTTCAGAGATATTTAGAACAAATGTAGTTGACATTGTAGTTGTTGCAAACATGTCAAATTAACATAACATTGTTGATTTTTATTTAATATGAATGAATGGAATTGAACTGAAACAAGCTACTTACCGTATTTTCACGACCATAAGGCGCACCGTACTAAAAGGCGCACTCTCAGTTATGTGTCCCATTTCTGTATTTAACACACACATAAGGCGCACCAGACTATAGGGCGTGTTTTTTATATACAGGTACATGTCCTCTACTACCTTTAAATACCTCTACTGCGTATTTAAAAATACAGCGGGCCCAAAACTGAGTATGATTGTTCTTTATTCATGTATTTATTACAAAGTATTAATCAAACCTGGGAGCTGGCAGTGAGACAGACACATCGCAGATGACACAGCGCTGTGATCACTCCTAAATTAACTTAAAATCCTGAAACCTGCCGACGGAATATGTTCGCTTTTATTACCGGTATCCTGGTGCCTGCAGTTTAAATTATTTAGATGAAAAACACCTGCCACCCACCGCGGTGAACCCGGAGGCTACCCAGCCTAGAGGCTGCTGATGAAGGGATTTCTACTGTCTGTGTACCGCTGGTATGTGGGGGTCTGAGCGCCTCCGACAGAAATAGATAATCTGGATGAGCTGACTGCAATTATTAAGTTTTCAGGTGGACTTTCTCACTTAAAAAATATTAAAACTACTTTATTCCCACTGATCACAGCAAATATAGCTGCAAGATTTAGATTATTTAGATGAAAAAACACCTGCCAGCCACCGCGGTATACGCGGAGGAGACCCGGTCCAGAGGCTGCTGTTGAATTAAGTTTTCAGGTAGAAAAATAGAGCGGGAGCAAAACTGAGTATGATTGTGCTTTATTCATGTATTTATTACAAAGTATTAATCAAATCCATCAAAGTCATCATCCTCTGTTTCTGAATTAAACAGCTGCACTAAATCAGACATGCCAATTTCCCCTTCTTCGCTGTCAGAGTCACTTTCCGTGCAGCGCGGCTCCTCAGAAATAATGCCGGCTTTTGCGAAAGCTTGAACAACAGAGCCAGCAGACACGTTAGTCCAAGCATCTACAATCCATCCGCAAACGGTGGCGTAACTTGCCCGGCGCTGCCTTCCACTTA